TGCTGATATTTTAAATACCAGTGCAGTAGCCTCCAGCATTAAAACAACATGCAGTCACCACAGAATGACAAACTGACCGACAGGTGGTGGTCATAAATAATAAAGGGTCATTGGTATTGTCAACCAATGGTTACTGAGTCCTTACTAGGTGCTGGGTGGTTATCCTTGGGGAATAAAGACACATAAGATAAGATGTGTCTGGAGAAAGTTATTTCCTTAGAAAATCTAAGTATTAAAATACACTTTTAGTCAAGATGACTTTTGAGGCAAATTATAAAATTTCCTTTCCTATTCCAGTGAACAGGAAGTATTATACACACTTCTAAGTCAAGACGACTTTTTAGGCATATTATGTTCTATTATTATATTAAGCATATTATACAAGGCATATTTCTTATTCTAGGGATCTTGGCTAACAACAGAGAATACCAGGAAATAGGTAAGGGAATTTTATAATACGCCTAAAAAGTCATCTTAACTTGTTTAATACTTAGAGTTCTTGAGGAAACAAAGTATCTCCAGGGCCATCTTGTCTTCAGTGTCCTTATTCCCCAAGCATAACAAAAGAGTCCTGGTATGGTGCTGTGGGTTAATGCACTAGACTGCAAAACCAGTTTGAACCACAAGGTTGGCAGTTCAAGCTCACCAGTTGCTCCTTGGAAACCCTATACAGTGTTGTTATGGGTCAGAACCAACTCAACAGCACTTAAAACAAACAATAATAACAATAATAATAGTGGATAAAATATTCCATGATGCAGGAAGGATCAAAAGAAGATGGAAGGGATACACAAATTCAACGTACCAAAAATAAATGGTCGATGTTCACAGTTTTTGCCATGCTTGAGCCCATTGATGCTGCCATATTACCAATCCATCTTGTTGGGAGTCTTCCTCTTTTTCTCTGACCCTCCACCTTACCAAACATGATGTCCTTCTCCAGTGACTGGTCCCTCTTGACAATATGTCCGAAGCATGAGAGACGAAGTTTGGCCATCTTGGCCTCCAAGAAGCACTCTGGCTGTACTTCTTCCAAAACGGATCTATTGGTTCTTTTGGCAGCCAATGGCACTTTCAATATTCTCCTCCAACACTATAACTGAAAAGCATCAATTCTTCTACGGTCTTGCTTATTCACTGTCCAGCTTTAGCATGCAAGAGCCCTAAGCCTAAGTAAAATAAGACCTCCTTTGGAGTCTAGTAGAGGCAATTACCTTATAGGGAAGTCACACTACCCATTCCCAAACTAGAGAACACGCCCATAAAAGATAGTTCCTATTTGCTACCCAAAATGGGGGGAGGGGGGCTACAAAGGCAAGAAGTGACTGGCTTACAAGCTTTCAAAGGGGAACCTAGATCCAGAGGGCCTGGAGGAAGGTAGAATCTCCAGTGAGTAGCATTCAATCTGACTAGGCGGGGCTGATGCATGAAATGCAGAAGGGTCTCTTGTGATACAATAGTGAATAATTGTTATCAGGACTGATTGTGAGGATTGGAAATGTAAAGGTAGACATTTTATAGCAAGGAGCGGAGTGATTAACTTTTCAGTCTAGGAGCAGAGGTCCCTAGGACCATCAAGGGAGAGGAGCAGAGAGCGGGAC